GTGTGTGTGTGTGTGTGTGTGTGTGTGTGTGTGTGTGTGTGTGTGTGCATATACACCCAGGCTACACAGAGCAGGGACTGTGTGTCTTACTGTACATCACACACGACCTCATTAGTTTATTTTTAGCTCCTCCTCTATTCATCAGCCAAACAGCCGCAGGACTGTGTGTGTGTGTGTGTGTGTGTGTGTGTGTGGTGGGTTACATTATACTGTAAGGGGGGTGAGGGGGGGTTTCAGTATCAGATTTCTTGTTTTCATTCTATGCAAGTTTCTTTGGTTCATTTTTATAGTTTTGCTTCGCTCCTGAAACATCGTACCTTTTAGTTATAGAATACCTTATTCGACTTTTAATGCATATTTAATATGATATTAACTTTAAGAGAGATAAAAGCAAATAGTTTGAAGCAACCTTTAACGGGTGCTTGAGACGTTTTTGACGTTGGCACCTGAACTGAAAGCTTCTCCGGTTCTTTGTTGCCAAAATCAGTTGATCAGCTGAGAGAGAGCCTTGATCTTCAGAAGCAGGAACACGTTTTATAAAGTGCTCCCTTCTCTTATCATGCATGTGCTTTAAAGGTACTATGAGACATTTTCAACTGGTCATCTGAGTTTATAAATAAAATACCAAATTCAGTGGGAAGCCATGTGACGGAAATCTACATTTGCAAAAAACAGGATTTCTATCGACAGTCCAAAATGAAGTAAATGTCACGTCTTTCTCTTCTGATCCTGTGTTTTGTTTCCCTGTGGCTGCTCTCAGACCAGTGAGCTGGAGGACCTGCTGGAGGACCTGCAGAGCGGCGGCCAGCAGCAGCTGTTCGCGGGCCAGCCGCCAGTCAGAGGACCAGCCTCCTCCTCTTCATCCTCCTCTCCCTCTGTGGCGCCTGGTTCCTCTGTGGACAAACAGAGCATCATCAGTGACATCCTGCAGATGACGGACGGTGGCGGCGGTGGCGGCGGCGGCGGCAGCCCCCCCAACCAGCACAGAGCCTTCCCTCCCATCAGCCCTGCAAGTACGTCTGCAACCGTGTTTGTGGAGACCTTCATCTCATCTTTGTCTCAGGATATGTACAACACTATATATATATCGTCTTCCTCCCAGCAGGCTTTAACAGCGCCAGGCCGGGCCAGCCGGGTCGAGGTGCTCCTCCGGTCAGGATCGCCTCTCTGGACAGCAGTGTGGGCCCCAACCCCAACGCTGGCAGGCCGTTCCCTCCTCAGCACAGGAACAACGGGCCCTACTCCTTACTGCAGCAGCAGCAGCAACAGCAGCAAGGCATGATGGGAACCCACGCAGGCATGACCAACCAGGCTGTGATGGCTAATCCAGGTCAGGCAGGAGGAGAAGTAGTGTCCCGTCCGTCCTGCAGATACAAATATACAAATATCCTTTTCCCCTGTTGAAATAAGCTAAGCATTGTATTCAATGCAGACACGAGATAATTCTCTAGTAAGGTTTTAAGATTCAGTATTGTAAAAAAAAAAAAGACTAATAATCTCTTTTCACCAAATCAGGCATGCTGAGTATGCGAGGCTCCATGCAGCAGGGCTGGGGTGCCCAGGGGCCCATGGGGGGCACCGCGGGGCCGATGATGGGCCAAGGGGTCGGACCGAGTCGGATGGTCCCCAACATGAACGCTGCGCTGCACTCGAGAGGCCCGGCCGGATCCAGAGCCATGGCCGGCATGCAGATGATGAACAACGGTGAGAGGACGAAGAGGACAGAATTAAGTCACAAACTGACCTCAACTCTCTTCAAAACTGATATTTTATGTGCCTTTTTTTTTGACCCCTTTCAGAGATGGAGATGGCAACACCCGCCTACACTCAGCAACATGCTCCGCCCAATCAGACCGCACCGTGGACAAACCGAATGATAGCTGTGGATCATTATGGAAACCAAAGCAGGTGTGGCATTCGATGCATCACAAAAAGCATGAAATAAGAGACTCAATAATGTAGAGGAGAGCAGAGTTCAGATGTGGGCTCTGTGTGTGTGTGTGTGTGTGTGTGTGTGTGTGTGTGTGTGTGTGTGTGTGTGTGTGAGAGAGAGAGAGTGTGGTGTGAGACAATAACAAACCGAGATACCTTCCAGGCCACCGTACTGCGCCCCCCAGGAGGACGGGATGCGGTGCTGCGAGGGCCCGCCAGATGAAGGGGCCCTGCTGAGCCAGCTGTGCTCGGTGTTGAAGGACTACGAGGGTCTGGAGGAGATCGACAAGATGCTGGGGATCCCGACTCTGGCTGGACAGGTGAGCCAAGAATCACCGGAACAATAAGACGTCACTTGCGACGTCTGTCAATGGACTTTTTACTTTGGAATTTGCCCATTTTTAGTAGTTTTCTTCATTTTCTCTGGGTGATTTATAGGATCTTTGATGGCTTTTTCGGATTTCAGTGCCTATTTTTATAATAATCAGAATGTAAACATGCAAAACCACAGTGAATAATGGAAATTGACACAGAAAACAACACGCATGGGGGCTTCTGGGGCTTCTGGTTGGGGTCGGAGGTGGGTCGCCTGCCTCTCCGCCTCTCATACAAACACACACACACACACACCCTACGTAACCCAATCTAAGTGTAATCTACACTCCCAGACTCATTTCATTACGTCATCCTAACGGCTTTATGTTATTGTCAAAAACAACACAAAATGATTGGTTCCTCTGACTCACATCCGGTCTTCCCACCCTACAGGGTCCCATGTCGGACCAGGACCAGTACCTCGGCTCCTCGGACCCGGCGGCCAACATGAAGCATTTCCTGTACAGTCAACACTACGGCGGCCTGCCGGGTTACGGCAGCGCGCCTCCCGACAGCGGCTTCCACGGCCCGTCTGTGAGCGGCCACATGGGGCCGCAGAGGATGCCGCCCGCCGGTTACCCCCCGATGATGAGGATGCCGGGGGGCGCGGGGCCCAGGCCGGTCGGGATCCGGCCGGGGGGCCCCGGTCCAGGAGTGCCACCTCAACCCAACAACCTGAGGCTCCAGCTGCAGCACAGACTCCAGGCTCAGTTGGTAGGCGGCTCCAAATATTTAAAATCACTCTTCAACGATATCGTTTTTGATTTAGCTTCAGTTTACCACAATATGTTTCACCGCTGTAATGTTGAGTCAAACTGACGCACCCCCACCCTGATAAACCGTGTTTCATTTGATGTTAAATCCACTCGTGGCTCTAGACACACCTGGAAATCTTTGTTTTGTTCTAATCAAGCGGCTCGTTTCCATGAAAAATAAGACTTTGTTGTCTTATTCGACACTCCTATTGAAGACGAAGACGAAGCCGTCTCCTTTTTGCTCTTTTTTTCACATTGCATGTAACTCGGCGTCGTTGAGTTCAAACAGCAGAGAGCCAGAAAGGAACAAATGTGCTGCAGCTTTCTGCCTTCATCAGCAACTCCCTGCTGCTGAGACGCTTAACAATGAACACACATGACATGTGCGCACACACACACACACACACACACACACACACACACACACACACACACACACACACACA